TTTGTGGTTTTTGATTTGATATGCTAGGTTCAGTGATTTTAATGTTTTGTGTTGCATCCATAATGATTTTGGTTTATGATTTTGACGTACTATAATTTACAATTTGACAATGTTGCTTGGATTGGTACTTTACGGTGATCTTTGGATTTTTTTGTGTTTTTATTGTTAGTAATGCTTCGGGTGCTCTGTATGTGGTTTGTTCGATTTCTTTTAGTTTTATTGGGATAATTACATACCTTGCTCGGTTTCAGTGAAGAATTTGAAAATTAGATGAAATGTGGTCACGGATTTGTTAATAGCAATATTTTTGGTGCTGTGAATGTGTTGAATATGGGCTGGAAACATGAATTTTGAATTTCATAAGGGAATTTCAAGCTAGATTTGTATATTGATATTTAAGTGTGAATTTGGTGCTGGATTTTCATATTGATATATTCAATTTCAGTAGAAAATTTAAATAATAGATGAAATTTGGTATTGTGCATGTGTTGAATATGGGTTAGAAACATGAAATTCACATCAGATATATACTATTTGGTTAATGTTGGATATCTGTTACAACGAAAATATCTCAAACCTTATCCTGATACGAGATACTACATACTTGATTTTCAGCGAGTCAGCAATGTCACACGGGGCAAAAAAGAAATGTTCAATAAAAGGCATTCCTCCTTAAACAGTATCATTAAGAGAACTTTTGATGTTTAAAAGAAGAAATGGGTAATACTTCGCAATATGTCATCTTACCTGTTACCCAAACGGATGTTGATTGTGATTGTCATGATGGTTCTCCATAATTATATTCGGCAGCATCCTTCCCACAATGACAACGACTTCCGTTGGGCGGACAAGGATCATGAGCATCTCACTGTCGAGGCTTTCGAGTACCGTCTCGGACAATCTTTGTCACAGGCTGAAAATGATATTCTCTAAACATGTACTAAAGATGGGGAAGGTACAAGCGAGATGGTATAAATGAGAGAATAAATTACAAATGTGATAGTAGAAGGGTAGTAATCATATTATTAATTATAATGGTTGTTAAAGAGATTCACTATTTATTTTATTTGTGTTTTATACAACTCATTTTTATTTATGTTTATTATGTATTTGATATTGATTGCTTGGATTTTTTACGCTGTTTGTAAGTATTTCTTTTCCTTTTACATTTCTTTTGTTTTTCTTTTAGTGGGTTTTAAAGGTCTGTAATAAGACGTTTGACCTTATGGGTTCTTCAGGATGACTAGTTCGTCGCTGTTGGTTGGTGTCACATGTGAAATCTTAATAAAGGCAACCAAATTCTTTTCTTTTTTTCGATGTTATGGTTTTTGAGATTATTTTAAATGAACTTTTTTTTGGTGATATGCATATGTGACACACACGAGCTTAGTATAACATCGGTTAAAGGCAACAAAGAATATTTTTTTTATAAGGTCTGTTGTCTTCTTGTAGTAACAGACTCGCTAGTCGATATAGTGAATTCTCTGAGACCTCACACCTACACAAATTATAATTAACAACTTTTATCAATTTTTACTTATATTATGTCTAATGGGATGTCTTTAAGGCATTCAGGAAAGATGAGCTCGGAGAATTCTAGTACCTCGTGAGATTTATATTGCTATTGTAGACTTCAATGTTCCCTGCTAACTTCACACCAGGCACATAGCTACAGAGATAGTTTTATAAGTGTCCGCGGAGAGTCACGAAAAACTGACTTTTTTCGGTGAGCAGACAGCTTGAAAGATTTCACCGCCAAGAGTGATCGGGCATGGAGAGTATCCCTAGAGGACGGCTTAACACGTGACATATATCATATGTATTTCAAAAATAATATTATCATATTATTAAATGTTATATTAATAGTCTTTTTTTTTAATTTTAACAATCATGAAACTCACTATTAAGTGAGTGTATATCTTTTTTTTTCTAATGTTCTGCATTGGATTTTTGCTTTTAAAGTATAAAATATATTGGTATGAATAGTTCTGCTACAAACAGTATTACTATACAGGGGTGGAATGGTCATTTGTCCAAAAACAGCTGCAGCACAGCTATTTTTAAACTAAAAAAAATAAACAAATAGTCAGCTTATTAGCAGCAGCTTCTGCATAGCAGCTTCATATAGTAGTTGCAGCTGTCTCAAACGAACTCTTAATCTCATCGCATCACATGCTTACGTATGCCAAGAGCGAGAAACAGCAAAATAATTTGAATGAGAGGAGATCATTTATTTATATGCCACAAATTTAAAACGTCTAAACAGAAGAATAAACACATATGTTTCACATCTCAAAATCTAAATCTACATTATCACATGAACTTTTTCTCTAAATTCATTTTGGGAAGATACATTAAGACTTTTAATGAGCTTGATAGATAAAGTTTCAAGTATGATAGCCCGAGTAATTGAAGTTAATAAAGAACAAGGCCAATGTTAATTTGACTGTTTAAATCTAAGATTTGGCATAATCCTAAAGCACAAAAGAACAAAAAACAAAACTCAATAGGTGTAAAAGGTAAAACAAAACAAAAGTAGAATGCACCACAACAATTCCTAGGGAATACAGAGCACATTAACAGAAAACAAACACTAAGAGAAGTTCACAATGACAAGAAGCAAAGAAGAATGGAAACAGTACTTAATCAAAAAGAACGGATTAACCATGTATCAGAAAAGTAGACGGCATCAAACCATCGTAGTGCAGAAAAAAAAAATTCTTATTTGGGAGTTGTAAATGTTAATTGAGTAAAATCTAGAACATTGTCCTCATTCCTTTACTAAATATAGATGAGTTCACTGCTAAATAATGCATACTAAAAAATATCGTTCTCTATTAACACAATATCAAAGTAGGGTTAGTTTCAAACCCTTGTCATCAATCCCATCCGCTCTAAAACCCCTATACTTACCTTATTCGACAATTGCATGTTCACCAAAGACACACAAGCCTTACCTTGCTCTCTCCCCAATAAAAACCCTTCCCTCCCTCTCACTCGCTTACCAACAGCGCGGTGCTTCCACTTCCTATCAATGGCACTATCACTTAGGCCCTCTTCCTCACCATCTTTGAAGCTTCACCCATATGCCATCCCCTATTTCTAAATGTGAATGTGTTCCTTGTGATTGTAGTAAACATCACTATATATGATTTTCTTCGCATCCTTGCCTCACAAAAATGCGCCTTCGACTTGAAAACTTCAAATATATAGAATTTTGATAAATCATTTTCTTCAATGTGGACTGCACCAAGATCATTTATTTGACCTTTTTGTTGAATTGTTATCAAAAATCATCACTATATACAAACAATTTTTTTGGAGAAAAACCTTTATATTTTTTCACTCAAGTCAAAACCATGGCAATGATAATGCTCTTTAATGTATAAAACTCCTTTTTGCACTTTATTACACCAACAATAGCATGGTACATCCATTGTCATGTCCATATATCTCCCAACAAAATGTAGTGGATGAACAAAAGGATTAACATATTCTTGCAGTTGCCAGTCCCTTGATATTTACACTACATCCTTACCCCACTAATCTACTTTCTTACTATAGAGTCTTGATTTGTGCTTATTTTATCTATTTTATAGACTCACTTCATCCAGGCTGTGATAAACTTTCATCTCAAGTAATATGTAGCATTTTTTTGGGGGATATTCTTATGCTTAAAAAGGAAATAGTTATTAAAATTCATCTATGCAATGATTATGTCAGTATCACATATTATTCTATCCTTGTTTGACAGGCTTCCTCTAGCACGACGATTATTTCTATGTACATTAATAACATTTTTCTCCCAATGAGTGATGTTTAAGCATTGTTAAAATAAAAATGTAACTTTAAAATATGGTTTTAGGGGTCCAAAGTACTTTCTTGGCATTTATTTTACATATAATAAAAAAATGCATTTCTCACCTTTTTAAAGTATACATGTTACAAACCCACTTGGAGAAATTTGCCTTTTTGAATGCAAGCTTATTGACTCTCGCATGGATACTTTGCTAGCATCCGAGAATAAGAAAATCTATGAAAATGTTTTTTGCTATTAATGTTTGGCAGGCAAACTTATTTATCACTAAATATATCCGTTATTGGGTGTGTCTCAACCAACATATTTAAAATCCAAAAGAGGTTGGCCTGAGGATTTTAAAATATGTCAAGAAATCTCCTAAAAAAGGATTAGTCTATTAGAGGAGTAATCATAAAAGTTGAAACCTATGTAGATGCTAGATCAAATGAAGGTATGAAGTTGACTTCTGGATATTATATCTTTAATTATATAAATCTTGTAATTTCAAAATGTAAGAAGAAAGAAGTTGCCGTCAGATCAAAAGTTGAAGCCTAATACAAATCCATAAATCGCTCTGCCTGTGAAATGATATGGGTAAAAAGTTTTCTTAAGAATTGTAATTTTCTTACTAACCAAATTATAATTTTAAACTATGATAATTAAATTGAGTGCTAAATACATTAAATTTATTCATCATTTTTACAGGGATGTAATTATTTGGAAGAAAAGCATCAATTCTCATGTTGTCAATTAAGAATGTTTGGCTATTATCTTTACCATAGCAAGTGGGCATCAAATTGTGGTTAATATAAATGCTCGAGCTTGAGGAAGGAAAGTTTTAGCGTAGAACAATATCTTATTTGGAAAATGGCCCGTAAATATTGAGTGATACATAATAGCTGGATAAACCCTATAACATTGTACTCATTATCTAATTATACATAAGAGTTCTCTACTAAAAATAAACATTCAAAAAATATTTATCCTCCTCAAAAAACCATAAATATACAGACCCTATAAATTGGGATGAAGTTCCACCAAAATCAATAGATAGAGAAACAGTTTAGAAAGCGTTTAAATCCAATGCTTGATGTGTTCGATGTTAACTCTCAGCCCATCAATGAAACAAGGAACTAAGTAATAAAAGCTAAAATTTCTGTTCAAGAAGCAAAGCAGAGAAGTATTGAATAACGAAGAATACCTGTATGCAGAAAATTGCAGCTAATCTAGCTTTGGAGCTATGATAACGATCACCATCAAGTGGAGATGCATCGTTATCACTTTGTTCTGAATCTGATGAAAACAAACTTAAACTAGAAGACTCACAATTATAGGAGCTCTCGGCACTTACTGAGAGTGCATTAGCTCCTCGTCTTCGTAGATGAGGAGGTTTATATGGAACTCGTTTACTTTTCCATGATTCCAGAATTTCAGACTTCTCGTTTGAAGAATTAATCCCTATATTTTCTGATTCAACAGCTGTGAATGCTAAAGATCTACTGGAGAGACCATATGTGAAAAACAGTTGCAACGTTGTAACAAAACCTGCCACCTTTCCAATTTTGATAAACAGGGGTGAAAAGTTTTAGGAAGAAAACCGAAAAAAAATAAAGCAAACTAAATTAATAAATAAATGTAATGAACTCACATGTGCTGACAGAGAACCTTTTGGATCTGATAGAATCAAATGGAGACAGTGGAATAGGGCAGCATAGAATCTGAAACATGTTACAATAATATTCAAGTTAATTTATATTGCCGCCAATAGCAATCCTAAAATAATAAAATATAGAAGTACCTGGACATTATACTATCAACAATAACATTTTTTGATGCCACAAAATCCATCAATTTCCTCAACACCTATTATTTATAAAAACAAAATGAGCAACTAATATAAGAGTAACAAACATAAATAGAGAAATTGTGCCAACCGTAACCACAGCTTCCCATAAGCTTCCCGAGATAGAAGTTCCAAGTTTAGATACAGCATCACGCAGAAGTGATAATACCATAATTTGTATCTCATATAAGCTGCTGTATTTGGGCTTGGCAGACCCATTATCGGTAGCATGCCAGTCGTCATTTCCATCTTGTAAAGAAAGCATCTCAGAATGCAAGTTTGAAATAATAAAAATTAGAAGCATTGCCAAATCACTGGTCTCTGATATCAAACAATTTCTCCCGTATACCTTGATAATAAGCCTGAAAGTTAAGGCCAGGCCATAAAACTATTAGTGTTAGCACTGAGAGGCACAGATGATGTAAATCAAGTGCTGAAAGCCTACCGAAAAAACATAAGCAAAGAAATAAGAGATGTTCCGAGTCACAATTCCTAATTGGGTCATTTAACATTAGATGCTTTGGTTGGATATTACTTCACGGATTGGCAGGTTAGGGAAAATAAATACTATAGCAGCTTAGGTATTACGAGAACTTTCTTGCTTTTCTTTTATCAAGGATTTATTAATTTATTTGATTTGCCATTCCAAAAACAAAACTTAATTTTTATTTAAATGTGACGAATACATGTCAATTTATTAGAAGGATCAAATCATATCGAAAAACAATCGGTGAATGTCTAGAACATTGGGATACTGACAAAAGCTTCTTAGCGTTGGAGGCCATCTTGATAGACCAGGTAGAACTGATAAAGCAATAATAACATGTTCAAGTTTCGAAATAACACAACACCTAGAGTCTGGATGAATATCAAATTTTGCATATAGCACAAAAATGAACGATAGAACTAGACATAGTGATCCTAATCTGTGAGAGAATTTAGATTAATACAACTAAAAAAGATGAGTTGCTCCATTTCAATGTAAAATGTCATGAATCATAGTTTGTATGTTTTATAAAAATAAAAAGAATGCAGTTTAAGTTTAAGCCTCAAAATGTTAATTTAGTGATGCTGGTTTAGGTTGGGATGTTGACATTCACAGGTAAAGTTACCAAGTTTTATTGGATTGGTTTGGTCATGGATTTGATTTTATTCATGTTATCGGGACAGAACTTAGCTAATTCTAGCTATTTTTTATTATATATTGTTTCATCTCAGGATCCAACACAAATTTATACACCTCTATTGGAAATTGTTTCCATCATATAAAACTGAAGTCGCCATTTGCATGCTTTCAAAGGCAGCAAACTCTCGTTTTACAACATGATTCCATAAACCCGCATATTGAGAACACAAAGCTTCCTTCTTTAGCTTTATAAGACCAAGCCAAAATAACAAAAGAGATAAATGAAAAAAAAATGGCTATTTCAATGTTTCTCCAAGCAGATAGAGACTATAAACACAGCAATCACTTGTAACCAATAATTAAATACAAACAACCTGAGAGTTTCTGAAATCTCAGCCATCATTTTCAATCTAAGAGTGCTGGTCAAGTAGTTTTTCGGATTAGCACTGCCAAGTACAGTTTCCATTGTGAGTTTAAGAAAATTCATTATCAAAGTCCAAGAAAATGAATTAAACTCCAATTGAACTCTGCAACAAACATTATGGATCTGTACAATTAAAGAATACAAGAGTTAGATAAAGTGCACAGCATGAGTGAACTCATGAATCAACAAAACAATAAAACAAAACCATAAAATGTAGCATAAGAATAAGAACCTATTTGCCACAGTCAGTATGACAAACAGTGATGCCTGGTTGGTTATGCGCTCCAAGAACTAATGAACTCAATGATCAGGGTAGAAAAAAAAAAGACATTACAAACTTTAATTACATTTAATCGCATAATACAATAGCAGAAAGTGGGGTGTTAGTGCAATGTGTTATGAACCGCATAAAAGTCTTCAAAACTAAAATTAAATATTAAGGATCTTCAAAAAATAAAATATATAGATTGGTACTAACTCCAAAAGAATATGGCATAAAGTTTTTTGAAGTTTTTGAAGAAGAATTGCAAATAAGTTGCAAATAGTAAGTAGCGACAATCAAATATAGGATATTTTTTCTGTTGAAGTTGCCATACCGTGTGCCACACAGTGCATTGTGTGATAATCAAGATTAATCCAATCTAGATAAGGTTCAGGAAAAAGACAAGTTATTATTCTAAGCTGTGCCCTTAAAGTAAAATAGTGAATAGGTCAATTCAGAAGCCTTGTAGGTATCATCAAGTAAAAAAAAAACTAAAGCAACATGAAGAACGCTAAAGCAAAGGAAAGCATGCCAAGCAATCCACTAATAGCTTGAAGCAGAAAAAAGTACCAAACAACTGAATAAATCATGGGATTCTTAATACATTTCTTAGTTGAATTGTTAGAGTTTATTATTTTATACCTTGCAACTTTGGTGAGATAAATTTTTTATTACATGATTTCATGTTTGGAGCATAGATATTCTCCCCCACACAGTGCTGATAGCTCTTCGTTTAGCCTCGTTATAGAAATTTGCAGCCTTCCAAATATCAAGTTCAAGGTAAGGAGTTGATTATTGGTGCATGCTATTTTTTAAGATAAATAATATCAATCAATGAGGAACTAGTTTAAGATAAATGTTTGATTACATTTTACCAAACTAGTATAAAAGAGCTTAGCTTTCTTTTAATCACGTTTCATAAAATCATGTCACATTAAAATTCAGCTACAATTTTATAACTTCATGTAAGCATTAATGAGTTATTCTACATTATGTAATTTTCAAAAACACCTAAATAGTATAACATAATATTTTTATTGAAGTTCTAAATGTTAACTAATTAGATTATTTAGTTGTTATTTATAGAGCTTAAAGGAAACTTTTATAAGATGGTGATGACACCTGCAATGCTTTATGGCACAAAATGTTGGTCTATAAAAGAGAAGCATATTATGTATTGCTGAGAAGAGAAAGCTCGGGTGGATGAGTGACTTTACACTAGGACAAAATGCAAAACAAAAATATCCATTAAAGGGTTGGAGCAGCTCCAATGGCAAATAAGATTTGTTCACATTAAACGTCAACCATCTCATAACCCAGTTAGGAGAGTAGATGTTTTAGATTTGAATTGAGTTCAAAAAGGTAGAGGTAAACCTAAAAAGACTTGGGCATGCTAATAAAAAATGATCTTAATTTATTAGAATTAAATGAAAATATGACACTCAATAGGACACAATGGAGAGAAAGGATTCATTTAGCCGAACCCACTTAGGCCCTGTTTGGGCAGCTTTTTCACCACGGTGGGTTATGAAAACTCGGAACGAAGCGTTTGGCAACTGCGGCGTGATCGCTTATCTAAATAATTTACATTAAACGCGGGTTGCAAGTTCGACTACCCGGCCCGCATTTTCATGCATCCCTATTACTATATTAACACCCCGTGTTTCTTCTCTTCTGCACTCATCTCTCTCGATCGCCTCACGTTTATTATGTCCTCGTCTCTTTCGATCGCTCATCTCCCTCTCGCGCCTCTCCGGTGGCAACGGGTTGTTTTTTTCATTTCCCTCTTTCCTCCAATCTCAGATGGCAACAAGTTGGACCTCTACTTCCTCTTCTCTTCGATCTCCGGCTCTCTACTCCCTCTTCCCTCCGATCTCCGGCTCTCTTCTCTGTTTACCGTGCTCTTCGTCCTCCCACGGTATCACCCATATTTTTTTATGGAATGACTTTCTCCTTGCATTTTGTGGTTTTCTCATTTGTGATTTGAAGTGGAAATTTGGATTTTGCGATTTGTGGCTTTCTTTTTATGATTTGAAATTTTTGATTTTTGCGAATGTGTGGCTGATGGAATGGGATTTTATCTTTACCTTTGGTGCTTCAGTGAGAATTTGTGAAATGGTTGAAGAAGGGTGCTTGGTTTGTTGATAGCAATGTTTCGGGTGCTCTGTATGGCTGATGGAATACGGTTTTACCTTTACCTTTGGTGTTTGAGTGGCATTTTGAGAAATGGATGAAAGAAGGAGCTTCATTTGTTGATAGCAATGTGTGGTGGTGGTGGTCAGATGCATTTTGTGGCTTTCTCATTTGTGATTTTAAGTGAAAATTTGGATTTTGTGATTTTTGGCTTTCTCTTTATGATTTGGAATTCGTTTTTGCGAATGTGTGGCTGATAGAATGGGATTTTATCTTTATCTTTGGTGTTTTGGTGAAAATTTGAGAAATTTTTGAAGGAGGGTGCTTGATTTGTTGATACCAATGTTTCAAGTGCCCTGTATGTACTTCACAGTATATGCAAAATATGGGTTAGGGTTTTATCTTTAGCTTGGATGTTTGACTGATATATTGAGAAATGGCTGAAAGATGGTGTTTTATTTGTTGGTAGCAATGTTTCGAGTGCCCTATTTGCAATAGTCTTTATGAAAAATATGGGGTGGGGATTTTATCTTTACCTTTGATGTTTGAGTGGGAATTTGAGAAATAGTTGAAAGATGGTGCTTGTTTTGTTGATAATAATATGTGGAGGTGGTAGTCAGATTTATAGTTTGATGGGATCTTTAAATTGGAATTGTATTTTGGAAAGTCCCGAATGGGTTCAATTTTGAAATTTGAGAGCATCCAAGATCCTATTTTCCCCATTTTAAGCTCATTTTACTCTCTGAATGACTATTCATCAGATAGCAATGTTTCGGGTGACTGTATGTAATTGACTCAAAATGGTGGTGTGTGGAGGTGTTGGAGTTGTCTGTGTGGTGGTGTGTGGAGTATGTGTGGTGGTGTGGAGGTGTCTATGTGGTGATGGTAGTGTTGGTGGTGTTAGAGGTGTCCGTGTGGTGTCTAGTGGTGCGTGGAGACGTTGGAGGTATCTGTGTGGTGGTGTGTGGAGTCTGTGTGGTGGTGGTGGCGTTTAGGTGTTGTTGGTGAGAGAGGTGTCTGTGTGATGTCTAGTGGTGCGTGGAGGCGTTGATGGTGTTGATGTTTGTGTGGTGTCGTGTGGTCATGTGTGAGGTGTCTGCGTGGCGGTGTGAGGTGTTTGTGTGGTGATGTGTGGTGATGTCTGTGTGATGGTGGTGGTGGTGGCGGTAGATGTTGGTGGCGATGGAGGTGTCTACGTGGCGTCTGCTGATGTGTGGTGTTGGTGGTGTTGGAGGTTTCTCTGTGATGTTTGGTGGTACATGAGAGGTGTTGTGTGGTGGTGGTGGTATCTGCGTGAAAGTGTTGGTGTGTGGTTGTGGAGGTGATGGCCAATGTGTGGTTTTGTTTGTGTGGAGGTGTTGGTATGTCGTTGTGGAGGTGATGGTTAGTGTGTGATTCAGTTTGTGTAAAGGTATTTGTGTGTAAAGATGGTGTTGGTGGTGTGGAGGATGTGTTGGTGTCTTGATGCGACGAGATGTGGAGGTGCTGGTGTGAAGGTCGTGGTAATGATATTGTGGCATTCTGATCTTTTTTTTATTTGTGATATTATGGCATTCATATTTATGTTAATTAGTGTTTTTATAATGCTAATAATACAATAGTTAAGACAAAAGAAGTTGGTTCATCTACAATGTGGGATAAAGAGACAATTAATATTTTGTGACATTTTTCTCAAGTAGATCGATCTGGAAAATAGGCCGACAACTCATTTCAACAAGAAATGTTGGCAAAATATTATTAGAAAATTTAAGAAAAGTACAAGCAGAGAGTATAATAAAATGCAGTTAAAAAACAAGTGGAATCGGTTCAAGAAGGATTGGAAAACCTTGAAGGAATTGAAGCGAGGATCAACGGGCTTGAGGTGGGATACAGTGAAGCGAATGATAGATGCTTCCGAAGAGTGGTGGGTAGAAAGACTTGTGATGAGCATTTTTGAAATGTCCCCTATTTTGGTCAATTTTTAATTTGTTTTTAAATTCAACTACATGTTATATGAATTTGTAGTGGAGCCTGCTGCAAAAAACTTTAAATATAATGGAATCGATATTGAGTTGGAGGAGAAGTTAGAATGTATGCTTAGGGGCGGGTGTCATGACAACGGGAAACAATGCATGTGCCGCCAGTGAGATGGGGTTTGGTGGCATCCCCGAAAATTTTGGAGCTGACCAAACAAGTGATTTCACTGAAGGCCCCAGTCCGGACCTCTATGAACTTAAGTCCACGAGCCACTCTAAGCGTCCTCAGGTTGAAAATAAAAAGAAAATGGGAGTGCATTTCTTAAAAGTCAGATATCACAGTTAGTGGTTTTATGCAACAATGACCCAGCACATCATAAGCACTTTCGGTCCAACAGGTTGTGCAAATTTTGAATGTAACTCCAATAATTTCTTAAGGACTTGCAGCTATATTTGTTTTCTATGAACTTACTTGAAGATTCAACGCGGAGAGACTTTTTCATTGTGATGCCCACTGGCCGTAGGATAGCTTACCTACAATATTTTTATGAGAACAATGACATTTGAGAGACATTTTCTTTTTACTTACATTCACGTGGGACATTCTATTTGTTTATAGTTTTTTTCATTGTGAATTTAAATTGCTTTGGAGATGTCGCTTTACTTCACAGTTTTTCATTCCTCGCTGTGTTTTCTATTTACTTCTAAAATGTTATTTGCTTATGTATGTTTTGTTTGTAACCTAATATGATTGTAGTTAATTCATTGATATTTATGTGCTAGCCACTTAGATGTAACCAGAGAAAAATGCACAAAAAATGTTGCAGTTGTCGTATGTGTGATGTATGAATATTATAACTCATAAATAGAGTGTTCCCTTTACATGACATCCTCATATGCTGACGTAAATGAATTGGAAAGTTGCTTACGAGCCACCCAACGAGATTTAGCAATATATTTCGCATGACACATTTGATATTAGCTAATTTGTTCGAGGAACTACACAAAAATCCTGGACTTCTTACTGATTCAAAACTTCTAATAACTCTCTACATATTATCACAGAATGAATCAATGCGATGAGCTATGAAACACTTTCAACGCTCCTCCAAAACAATTTGCAGATACTTCCCAGTAGGCTTGAATGGACTTGTATGTTCTTCTTCACAAATCATAAAGCCAAAAGATCATACGATCAAACAGAACTCCACAGAGATTTTACACTATGTGCGGTATATGGCATACTTTAAGATAATTTTTCCCATTTATTACATTCAGTTTTCAAATAAATATCATAATTATGTAACACTTCTTTATCTTTCAAGAATTGTATTGGAGCAATTGATGAAACATACGTTATGGCAGATGTTTCAAATAATGAGAATATCGCATTCATCAGTCGTTGCGGGTTCCCGACGCAGAATGTCATGGCGGTATGCGACCTCAACATGTGTTTCACTTTTATCATAGTTGGTTAGGATGGCAATGCACATAATAATCAAATTTTTAAAGCGTAAACAAGGAATAACAAATACAACTTCACACATCCACCCACAGATTCGCTTGAGACTAAGCGACTCTTCTAATTATTTTTTCCCTCAATACTAATCATGCAATTCACATCAAATAGAAACTATTTGATTAATGTTGAATATTCATTGCAGCGAGGATATTTCAAGTCCTATCCTGATAAGAGATACCACATACCTGACTTGAGCGAATCAGCAATGTCATGCGGGATAGGAAGGAAATGTTCAACAAAAGTCATTGATCCTTACGCGATATTATTGAGAGAATTTTTTGTGTTTGAAAGAAAAAATGGGTTATACTTCACGATATGTCATCTTACCCATTGCCCAAACAGGTGCATATTGTGATTGTCACGATGGCTCTCCACAATTATATTCGGCGACACCCTTCCCGCAACGGCATCAACTTTCGTAGGGCGGACGAGGATCATGAGCATATCCCTGCTGAGTTATAAGAATATCGTCTTGGACAGTCTTTGTCATAGACCGAAAATGATGTTCTCGAGATCTGTACTGAAGACGAGGAAGGTGCAAGCGATATAGCAGGGTTGAGGGAATGAATTACGGATACAACAATTGGAGGGTGATTGGAGTTTTCATCAAACTATTAATTGTAATGTTTGTTGAAGAGATTCACTGTTTATTATATATGTATTTTATACAGTTCATATTTATTTTTGTTCCTTGTGCATTTGATATTGATTGTTTTGGTTTATTACATTATTTATAAGTGTTTTCTTTCATTTTGCATTTCTTTTATTTTTTTTTGGTGAGTTTTGGATGTCTATGATGAAACGGTTAACATTATGAGTTCTTCGGGATGGTTTATTTGTCATTATTGATTGGTGGCACATGTGAAATCCTAATGAAAGCAACTAAATTTCTCATTTTTTTCAGAGATACGGTTTTTGAGATTCTTTTGTATTGTCTTTTTGGATGATATGCATATATGACACACATTATCTCAGTATTACGCAAGTTAAAGGTAACCAAAAATCATTTTTTTTATAATGTATGTTGTCTTCTTGAAGTAAAATTCATTAGTTAATATACTCATTTCTTTGAGACCTCATAGCTGCATAAAAATATAATTAATTACTTTTTCTATCAATTTTGCATGTGATATGTCTAATAAAATGTCTTTTAAAGTATTGAAAAAAAATGAGCTCAAGGATTGCTAGTACCTCCTGATAATTGCACTACTATTGTGGACTTCAAAGATCTCTGTTAATTTCACGTCGGCCACATAACTACGGGATACGTTTTTACATGTTCATGCAGAGAATCGTGAAAAATTGTGACTCTTTTCGGTGGGAAGATAAGCTAGAAGACTCCATCGCCGAGAGCGATCAAGCATGAAGAGTATCCCTGGAGGATGGCTTAATTTGTGACATACGTCATCTGCATTTTAAAAATACTATTATTATATTTGCAAATATTATTTTAATAATTTTTTTTCTTAATTTTAAGAATCATGATATCATTATTAAATAAGGTGTACATCTTTTTTTTCATGTTCTGCACTGAATTTTTCCTTCTAAAATATAAATTGTATTGTTATGACAGTTCTGTTACAAACAGAATTACTATACAGGGGTAGAATGGTCATTTGTCCAGAAACAGCTGCAACACAGCTGTTTTTGAACTGCAAAAAATAAACAGACAGACAGTTTATCTGCAGCAGCTTCTACGCGGTAACTTCCTGTCGCAGCTGCTTCGCAGCAACTTATTATTGAGCTGCAACTAGTGGGTTAAAGGCTTATTGTTGAGTTATTGTTTATAGATTTTAATCTAAAAGTTTATGGATTTACAAATTTAGGGGTCCAATATAATTTATAAAAAAAATATTATTGGTATTATCAGGATTTTGGCCATGGAGAAAATTTTAAATAAAATATCAAAATTAAAGTTCTTAATAAATATAGGGGACACAAATGAGAATAAAAAAAAGTCAAAAACAAAATCATTTGAAAATTAAATAATTAAAAAAAAAAAAGAATAAAATTGAAAAATCTTCCCTCAAATCCTAGATTACACATCTCAATTCGAGAGCATAGTCCAAATATTCAAAATCAAGTTCAACAAATATTTATACAAAGGTCCATGTGAGCCATGAAATTGAATTAAGAGTAACCGACTTTGGTAATGAAGGTAAAGGCGAAGTTAAGAATCACAATTCACATAATGGACTAATAAACTTCCTTAACCTTATCCTACAAAAGACAAATGCGTACTTGATCTAAGTACCTACCATTATATCATCAAACTCAAATTAGAATCTCAAATCAATACCTTCACGTTTGATTATATTATTTTCATTTCAAAGTCACAATGGATTAAACAGACATAGGAAAATTTCTGTAAGGATCGTAGCTAGTCTTATATTGCACTTAAAGAAATGAATACAAAATTACACAAAAAAAAGGTAAGCCATTTCTATTTTTCCACTTTGGCTATCCTTTCTATTCTTTCACTTTGGTTTATGGTGTCATTAATCAACTCTAGCAAACCAAACTAAAAATAGGATTCAGAACAATGACCCTTAATTAAGTAAGAACGTCATGCTCAGCATTATGAGAAAGGAGGTGGGGTCCACTAACCAACAAGCCAATTCTTCAAAATAGAACAAAAAAAAGGGAAACAAATTTCTCATAGTTGCACTTAGAGCCTTCAGCTGAGTTCCTATCAAAGAAATGGTAGATAAACTCTTTGCTTAACAATTTTATTACCATTCAAGGTAGTAAACTACTTCCTAAAATTGCTTGACCGAATAGGTGAACCAAATGATAAGAGATGTCAGTGCTGAAGGAATCCAAGTTACAAAATGTAATAAAATCCAAAGTATAATCCGACCCACCTATACACAAGGTATCAAGTAAAACCACAGCTGGATCGAAGTAAAGGGGGAAAAATTCCATCAACTCATCTTGTACAGACTCAAAAAGATAGCACAAAGCTAAACCTGAGCATAGTTTGCATTCGAAATATAAAATCTACTAGCACATATTTTCTTTCTCTCTGCACCCAAAAGACCTGAGAGACCTCCTTATGAAACAAGAAGTTCAACTTTATGATAAACATCCATCAGCATGTCACGCCAAAAAGCACCTTTTTGCTTTTTTTTTTTTTCTCAAGTAAGAATCATTAAATGAACATTAAGCCTTCCAAGTGGCATTTCACTTCAGAGAGCGCCAAGTAGGTTGCCAGAAGGAAGATAGAAACGCAAGCATTACCAGGTGAATTATTTGTAGCAGCGGTTCTACTGCGTCCTCACACCGTGTAGTGGCCGAAGCCAATTCCACTAAGAGTGTTACATCTGCAGTGACCTGAAGCCATCTCTCATTGAATCAAAACCAGAATAACTTAAATCGAAATACCGGAAAAAAATTTTCACCTCCGAAATCGGGAGGGATGCTGCAGCCACGGCGAGGGCATCGTGAATCTGGGAAAAGAAGAGGCGCCGAAAGAGGATTAGGAGAGAAGACGGTGGGGGCGAGGTTAGAGCTTCGTCCCGGAGGTTGAGGAAGGCCGTTCTCCATAGCCGCCAGTCAGGTGATGACGACGCCATGCCGGCGGGATCTTGTGAATGAACGCCGTTTCTGCTTTGGGGTTTATAAACTGTATCAATTATCTGCTCAGCCGAGCTGGAGAGTCCAACTAGAAAATCCAACTAGATTCTGGGTCTCACGGTGTAAAATACAAAAAACATTTATTGAATGTGACCCGGCCCGAATTACCACAGAGAAAATTTAAAATATAAGTTTTGTCGAAAAACCCAACCCGATCTAAACAAAAAGTCACTTTATGGTAGATTTGGTCACTTCCTTTTTTGTTCTTCGGCGGTTTTTTAGCATTCCTTCTTCTTCTTCGTCGGTTCAGATTCGGCTCTCTACGCCCTTCGGCTTCTTCGGTGTCTGTGCTTTGGTTTCCATTCGGCACTATAGCGATTTCACTTCGGCTACAGCTCTTCGGCTTTGTCTCTTGAAAAAGAATGGTCAGTTTCGCAAAAACCTAGTGTTTATAAGTTATAGCATTGCTTCGTTCGGCAACCACAAGACATTGGTTTTCTTTCTCTTGCTAGCACACAACAATGGAAGGTCGCAACGGTACTGAAGAAGAAGCTAGCGGTTTCCTGAAGTCGTTGAGGTAATATGCTACAATGTTTATTTTAGATAAAAAAGTTGATTTATTTTATTATATTAGTGTTGTATTATAGTTGTGTCATTATTATGTTATTGTTGTGTTATTATCATTTTATGGTTGTGTGATATGTTGTAATTGTGTTTTTACTTATGTTATAGTTGTGTTATAGATGTGTTATTGTGTGTTATTGTTGTGTGATTGTTATTTTATGGTTGTGTGATGTGTTATAGTTGTGTTATAGATGTGTTATTGTGTGTCATTGTTGTGTTATGTTGTTATAATTGTGTTATAGATGTGTTATTACATTATATTTAGTGTGTTATGGTGTATTATGTTGTGTTATAGTTGTGTTATTGAAGTGTTATGGTTGTGTTATTGCATTGTTATGGTTGTGTTATTGTTGTATTATTGTGTGTTATTGTTGTGTTTTTATGGTGTTACTTGTGTTACAATCCTACTAACACCGCAACAGTATCAATCACACATATATAACATGGAATAATAAAATAATAACACAACAATAACATAACCACAACACAACCATAACACAACTATAACACAACAATAACATAACACAACTATAACACAATCATAACACAGTCATAACACAATCATAACACACAATAACACAACAATAATACACAATAACACAACAATAACACAACTATAACACAATAATAACACAAATGAGTGAATGAAGAATGATATCTATAAATAATAATTCTTTTAGCATTTTTGTTGTTGTAGGTATATGAACGCAGGAACGTTCAATCATAGATGTTGTCCTTTTGCAGTGAGGGGTGCACTTGATACTGTTAGATACAACGTCTCCGAGGAGACCATGAATTTGTTAAGAGAAATAAATGTCAGTCAGTTTTTTAGCATGTTTCATTATCCCCAAGATAATGTGTTAACCCTACATATCGGGAGATTTTGGAATAATGAAAAGAGAGCTTTTGTCATGGGTGGAAAATTGGTAAAACTCCACGCTGACTATGTTGAACTGTTATTAGGCGTGTCCAACAGAGGAGAATCAGTTAGTTGGAGGAAAAGTTCCTCATCTTGTGTAGATGCGAGAGCAATAAAGGAAAATTTGACTAAATTTTCAAGGTAGTCTTCCACTCCTTTTGAGAAATTATTTCTTAATTTTTTACTAACAATTTTATTATTTTCCTCAAGAAATTTTAGTGTGTCCGCAAGGTTTATGCATTTGGGGAGAACATGCAGTCCTTCTCTTCGTTTAACTGATCTGCTGTCATTTATGATTTTATGATTAATCAAATGAACATTGCTGCAATCAAAATAAGGCAAAATCTGCCACTTGGTTACATAAGCAGATTTGTATTTCTTTTATCTGTAAGTTCATATTGTCAACATTAAAAAAATTTCCTTTTGACTTTATGTTTTTGTTTTTGTTTCCTTATGACAAATTTGTATTTGATATGTGTAATCCGCAACTTTGGTTTTTTGGGCACACATCTCCGTTTACTTCTGCTACACCCAAGGCTAGACCTCGCATGTTGAGGTGGCCAACAAGTCATGAGTGAACAGCACCACAGATTCATGAAGCTTTTAAGAGGCGCGAGCATGTATAAGTAAGTACATGTTTGGGTTAAAAGATTTTATTCGGGTAAGTTTTGTTTCTATGTTGCTTTACTGTCCAATATGATTTTCATTGTAAGTTAATGACACATTCATAGACTTGAAGGAAGATGAGCTCCGCTTGTTGTCCAATCCTGACCAGGGACCACCCAGCCCTGCTATAACTCTTCCTCCTCGTGCTCGTCGTGAAACTCTGGTCGGACTGCCATCACCCAAATTCCTTGGCGTTGGTCCAATTGTTTCAATTGAGGTAAACCCAAAAGCAACTTATAGAAGGGGAAGAAATGATTTTGAAGGAATAATTGAGCTACTTAAAGCTAAGGAACAAATAAATAAGTTTACAGGAATCTATGTTTACCATGAATAAATAAATGGCTAATGTTGAAGAGTCATTGTCCACCCTAATAACTATAGTTAAGAGATTAGAAGAAACCAAAGCTGATAAAGAGCAAGTGTTGACCTCACTTTTGGTTGAGATCTAGTTTCTTCCTTAGAAGCATGAGATCTAGCCATATGATTTTTCTGTTGACTATTCCTAGATCATGAGATCTAGCCATAGGATTTTTCTGTTGACTATTCCTAGAAGACTAGTAAAGGAACCATCGCCATTAGAAATTCTAAAACTCTTCTTTTCTCATCTTGAAGTTCCACATGTTGGTTCTAACCTCTAGCACTTAGTAGGTGGAGCCAATATGGGGGAGCTCAAGAGGAGTCCCCATAGGACTGTTTGGCCTTAAGGTTAGCCCTGGGTGGTGTGGTCTTAGTCAATCTTGCACACACACATTCGATACCCCTCACTAACACTCACAATCCCAACCCTTAACGAAACATGTCTAGCTTGATCCCTTACTCTATTAGAAACTCATGTGGATAGTCCCTAAAACCATTAGCCCTAGGCTAGGTGATACACCAAAATAATATACTATTTTAGTACTTACTTTATGCATATTTTTGGTGATATCACACTTTAAAGAATGGTGTTTTTAAGTTTTTGTTGCAGATATATCATTTTTAGACATTTGGAGCAAGAATGGTAAAAAGGCAAAATTTCGAGCTAAAACAACCAATTTTTGGATGCTGGCGCATTATGCGTCAGATTGACGCATCATGCACCAAAAACCATATAGCTGGTGCATGATACACTAGGGACGACTTTTTCAAATTAAAGCGGATCGAGATAAATTTTGCGCAAAATTTTAAATGGACACTTGTTCTATACACCTCTTGGAGTAATTCAATACAGGTAGACACTTTGGAAGGTTCTTTTATGAAGGGATATGGCTCTTGGATCAAATGAAATATCTTTTGAATTCAAATATCTTTTGAATTCAAAATATCTTTTGAATTCAAAAGAGTTGACTTTTGGAGAAAATTTTTAATTATTTTCCAAAGGAGGCAGCACAAAATAAAATAAGAAGACTTCATAGAGTAAGAGGAGGCTTTTGTGTGTGATGTGAGGAAGAGAGAGAAAGTGGCGTGGGAGAGAAAGAGAAGAGGAGATTTTCTTCTAGGGTTGTAAGAGGAGAGGGAAGGTGAGAGATTTCTTCTTCATTACACTTCTAAGAGAGAATTTGGGGTGATTGTAAAGAGAGAAAGGCTTGAAGAGAACTTCTAGGGACTTTCTTGTGAATGATTGTGAGATAAATTGTATTTTTATTTCTTTTGTTTTTTAAACTTATTTTTATATATGAAATTCGTGTTTTATCGTAGTCTTCTCATGAATTCTGAATAGTCTTCTTTATCCTTCTCCCTAATTTGAAGATATGGTTTTGTGAAGAATAGATTTTTTTTTCCACAGTTTTAAATGATAAAAAATTGCGATGATTTGAACTCTGATCTTCATTTACTTTTCGATCTGGCCAAGTGAAATGTTAAAAGTTAATGAGAGACATATGTTCTTAAATGATATATGATTTCTACAACATAGGGAGAATCACATTTGATTTCATGGGAGAGTATGTCATCCATGATATTGAGTGCAAATAAATAGGAAAATTTGATTTGTTGGATGCAAAATTAGAGATTTTAAGGTGACAGACTAAAACCCCAAATTTGGTTCAGTTGATTGGAAACTAATGTGAGATTGTTAGCTCTCAGATGAGGGAGTAATGAGAGCTCTGGAGTGACAGCCAGTATCCTCCCAGCCTAACGTGGAATTATGGACCAAACTCAGGAATAGTCAATGTTCTTTATAGCACTCGGAAGAGGGTAAAGAATAGAATTGCTTCTATTTGACACAAGGCAATTTTACATGTATTTTAAATTATATTAATTACGTCACAATCAATAAACTCATTATAAAGGAGAAGGTTGCTTTCTTAAATTTGAACTCTTCATTATAAAACCTTATTTAGTCTTAGTAAGTTTACTTTTGAAGTTTAGCAAATAGTTTAGTTAACCTAGTTCTGTTAGTTGCATTTGCATTCATCCAAGTAGTCAATTTTCAAACTTTGCACTTTACCTTTATTTTTTTGTTTTTGATATAAAATAATTTTCATAAGAATTTACTATAAGTTTTTCTAACTTTCCTATGGGATCAATATCTAGGATTCCATTAGAACCCTTTATTACTTGAGCGATACGTATACTTGCATTGATTTTAAAGGTGATTTGACAGTTTAAAAAGAGCTTTAAAAATAAACTATTTTCATAAAAGTTATTTTTGTTGGGATTATATTGCATATTTATTAATATATTTGTCGTGTGTTTTGGGCGTCATTAAGTGGTGTCAACTTCTTACATATTTGCATATACAAAATCTCGTATCACTAGTGTTTGGCTAAAACCAGCACATGAAGGATTCATAATGGGAGTTCCCTTGGTCTCATGACTCAAAAGAGATAATTTTATGACTAGCATCCTCAATTAATCTCATCTTCATCAAATACCCGAGTTAACATTTTCCCCCCAAACATTC